TCTCTCTCTCTCTCTCTCTCTCCTTCTTTTCTTTCTTTCTTTCTTGTCCTAGGGCTTGAACTCAGGGCCTGGGCATTGTAATCTGAGCTTCTTTAATTCAAATTTAGCACTCATCACTTGAGCCACAGCTCCACTTCCTGCCTCTTGGTGGTTAATTGGAGATAAGAGTCCCATAGACTTTCCTGCCTGGGCTGGCTTTGAACCACAATCCTCAGACCTCAGCTTCCTGAGTAATTAGGATTATAGGTCTGAGCTACCCTGTTCCCAGTTTACATCTTTTTGCTCTGAGCCATTATCTCTTGCATCTCCCCTGGAATTCCTGGAACCACAGGGCTGATGGAAATGACATCTTCTGATAAGGGTCCAACGTGGCAGGCAGTGGCCAGGCTTGTTTTCTGATGACCAGGCCAACCGCCTGGCCACACCTTGACCAGAGCTGCTTAACAATGCATACTTTTCAAACCCTGCCCCAATTCTTCTGCAGTTTTTCCTCTATTGAAACCTAAAGTTCGTGGTGTCAGTGCCCTAAAGATGGGTTGAAGGACCTACTCTTCCTCTTCCTGAAGCAACCTTACCCTGATTAAGCATCTTTTTGTTGTTGTTGTTGTTGCTCATGGGTCTTGAACTCTGGGCCTGGGCACTGTTCCTCAGCTCTTCTGTTCAAGGTGAGCACTCTACCACTTGAGCCATAGTGCCACTTCCAGCTTTCTGGTGGTTAGCTGGAGATAAGAGTCTCACGGACTTTTCTTCCCGGCTGGCTTTGAACCGAAATCCTCAGATCTCAGCCTTTTTAGTAGCTAAGATTACAGGCTTGAGCCCCCAGCCACCAACGAAGGATGACTTCTTTAGTTGACATGTTGGGCAAGTAGTTGAACCTAATATGTTGGAATGTCCAGGGACTGTCCTCAACTAGGACTCTGGTTAGATCCAGAGTGCTGGTATTATAGGTATGTACTACCATACCAGCTCAGTTCTATTGATAAAATATTCAATAAAAAAGATTCTTAATGGTTGAAGCTGTGATCCTTTATTGTATTGTGGCTTTATGTGAAAGACCATCAGTCTCTGAACCTCCATTTTCTCCTCTGTAGAATGAGGTGCAATCCCCAAAAGAAATACAACCACCTTACCTCCTGTTCAGAGCTCTTCTCCTCTGAGTTGAACCTCCCCTTGGGAGACCTGGGAGCAAGGTGGGGAAGGAGGGGATGGGCTAGGAGGCCTAGAATTTGGGAGAAGAGAGATGGATCCTGCTCTAAGTCTCCTGACTCCACCCCAACTTTCCACTCCCAGCCTGCAGCTGCCCCAGGCTCTTTGCCACCTGCTGGGTGGGGCAGGAGCACAGGAGAGGGGGTGGGGATGGGAAATCTTCTCCTGTGTGTGTGTGTGTGTGTGTGTCTTTGGTAGGGGGTGGGAATTGCTCAACTTGCCCCTTTCCTGTGCCTGCTCCCAGAACTTCTTTCATCCTTCTCCCTGATTTCCCCTCTCCTTGGTTCTTCTTGTGGAGGCTGGGAGGCAGAGAAGAGGAGATGGAGGCTGGGGCAGAGTTCCCTGTGTCCCGTTCCCAGTCTGGGTGTCTAGGACACCCTAACCCATGTCCCTTTGTACGCCATCATCACTGAGCAGGACCATGGGAGCAGCTGGCAGGATGGTGGGGGGTGGTCCAGGGACTGAGGCAGGGAGGGAGGGAGGACAGCAGAGTGAGGACAGGCATGTGGAGCTGAGGGGGCAGGAAGCAGGGCAGCACAGCTGTGCAGGTTGCACCTAGGACCAACTGCTTCCCGCCCCGCCCCAGGCCTGTGTGTGCCCCTCCTGCTCCTCCCTTCCATGTCTGCTAGAGCATGCATGCCTGGAGCCAACCAGCCAGGACCTGGGGAAGGGCAGCTGCCTCTGAGTCCCCATCACCCCCGGGGTCACTGAGCCCTCACCTCCCACTTCCTGGCACAGCTGGGGCCTGGGATCCAGCCCTGGCCCAGCCAGGCCAAATGGTGTCCATGGGAGGCAGTTTGTGGACTGTGCTTCCTGTGTCTGTGAGCAGAGGGCAGTGGTGCCCGGGGCTGTCAGCGCTGTCCTCAGCCCTGGGCAGGAGGCTGAGGCTGAGGCTGAGCCCAGCGGGACCTGTCAGGACCAGTGGATGGGTGTCTGGGAGTCTCATGTGCCAGGCTGGCTGGGGACCCAGGGGAGGCCTTCTGTGGAGTCCTGGCCTGGGTGAGGGGCAATGTGTCTGGGACCCCAGGGAGCATGGGAGAAGGGCAGGAGGAGGAGGGGGAGGAGGGCCAGGCCCAGCCTTGCCAGTTGTGCCCCAGGGCCAGGGTCTGTGCCAGCTGTGGGCGGTGGGTGGAAGGCAGGGGTGAGTAACCGCGGCCAGCTGGGTCCCTGCCTCTTCCATCTGCTTTCTCCACCTTTTTCTTTTGTTCTGGTCCCCAAATTGGGGAGTTTGTCATGGCAGATGTAGGGGTGGAGGCTGGATCTGGGGCTCATTGTGATGTCCCCCTGTTTGTAATCTTGAGGTTTTCTACCTTGGGGCACAGCTGGCCATCAGTGGCTCATGCCTGTCATCCTAGCTATGAGGAGGCTGAGATCTGAGGATGGATGTTTGAAGCCAGCTTGGGGAAGGAAAATTGATGAGACTCTGGGCTCCAATTAATCAGCAAAACCTGGAAGTGGAGCTGAGCTTCAAGAGGTAGAATGTCAGCCTTGAGTGGAAAAAAAAAAAACCCCACATTTGGGTACCAAAAAGCCTGTCCTGGAACCAAAATAAAAGTTTTTGTCTTTTGTTTTTGCCAGACCTGGGGCTTAAACTCAGAGCCTGGACACTGTCCCTGAGCTTCTTTTGCTCAAGGCTAGCACTCTACCACTTGAGCCACAGCACTACTTTTGGCTTTTTCTGTGTATGTGGTACTGAAGAATTGAACCCAGGGCTTCATGCATGCTAAGCAAGCACTCTACCATGAAGCCACATTCCCAGCCCCCCCAAAATAAAAGTTAAAATTATATTTATAACTACAGATGAGATTGTCTGCTTGGTCTGGCATTGAACCTCAATTCTCAGATCTCAGCCTCCTAAGTAGTGAGAATTACAGGTGTGAGCCATCAGTGTCTGGCTTTGTTTTGCGGGGGCAGAGAGGGTAGGGGTAGGGTCTTGCTTTTTACCTGAGATGGCCTGCAATTCATTATGTAGGAAGAGGACTGGGTCCAAGTCTAGGTTGGTCTTGAACTTTTTGTGTGTGTGCTGTTCCTGGGACTTGAACTAAAGACCTTGTCTTCCTGTTTGGGTTTTTCACTCAAGGCTAATACTCTACCACTTGGACCACAGCTCCATTTCTGGCTTTTTGGTGGAGATGAGAATCTCTAGAACTTTTTTGCCTGGACTGGCTTTAAACCCAATTTCATTCTTAGATTTCAGCCTCCTAAATGGCTAGGATTACAGGTGTGGGCCACAGGCACCCCCAGCCAAATCCTGAATTTTTAATCCTTCTTCCTCAGTCTGGCTGGTGCAGGGATTACAGGCATGGACCAGTAATACAGGATTGTAAGTAGATTTACTGTGATGGACAGATAGCTGGCTGGAAGAATGATGGAGTATAAATGACCCCTAAGGAAGAAGGAATATTGAGGGAGGAGAATGGACACACACACACACACACACACACACACACACACACACACACACAGAGATGCCCTCAGACATTTTATTAGGGCCCAGAAACATGTCCTGGGGATCTTTCTGTTTTCCCAGGAGTTGTGCCCAGGAATGATTTAGATCTGGACATAAGACAAGGTGACATCACCTTGAACTTCCACCATGTCCACCCTCTGGAAGGAGGTGAACCTATGCGAGAAGTCGAAGAGGTGCTGCCCATTGGCATAAACCTTGAAGCGATCCAGGCCGCAGCGAATGGACAGCTGTGGGAGGGAGTGGAGGAGGGGTGAGCCTGCTGGACAGGGCTGGGGGAGGGGAGGGCCCACTGGACAGAGGTGGGGGAGGGGAGGGCCCACTGGACAAGGGCTCTTGCAAGAGCAGGAAGAAGGGCAGGGATTCCGGACTCACATCAAAGAACTGGCCAGCACCGAAGGGGTTGTAGGAAAGCTTCCTCTCCTCAGAGCCCCAGGAGCCATTGAGGAAGCTGTTGCGGACCACAGCATTCTCACCCAAGCGGGGGTTAATGTGCAGGGCCAGGTCCCCAGAAGAGCTCACCTTCAGGTTGATGGCAAAGCTGAAACCAAGGGGAGAGTCCAGTGGGAATCCAACACCTGCAGCCTGGGAAGGATTGCTGGGGTCTGGAGCCCTGGGTCTGAGGGAGAAAGCCTGGGGTCTGGACCCCTGGGTCTGAGGGAGGAGGACTGGGTTTGAGTCTGCAGGAGACCTGGGGTCTGGATTCCTGAGTCCTAGGCAGGAGGTCTTGGTTTGGATGTTTAGCTCTGAGGGAGGTGGACTTGGTTTGAACCCTGGGTCTGAGGAAGGAGATCTCCAGCCTGGACTCCTAGAGGAGACTGGGACCTGGATCCTTGGGTCTGAGGGAAGAGGGCTAGAAATTTCCCTCTGTCTAGGTTCTGTGCTGACATACCTCTTGCTATGAGGAGGTACGTAGCCTTTGATGATGATGGTTTTTCGTGCCGTAAGTCCCCCCTGCAGTCTCCCCGTGTAAGGCACAGGCTATGGAAGAGAATAAGGAGCCTCAACCTCTGTGGGATGGCAGGAGCCATTGATCCCTGGACACAAATCCAACCAGTCTCCACCCTCACTCCTGCCCAGCCTGCCCACCACATCTCTACTCACACCACCCTGCTGAGTCTTACCAGCTCTCCAATCTACTACCGCCCCACCCCCTTCAGGATGCCATACCGGGTTGAAGGTTGGGGGTCCCTGCATGATCTGTGGAGTGGTGAAAAGAGGAATCATTCAATAATTGATCACAAATCGTTGGTCTCAGCTCTCCCATTCTCCCCAATTTTAGACTAGCTCCCCCCAAAATGGCCACCCAACTGTGCCACTTACAGGTAAACTGCTCATTGGTGGGGTACCATATCCGGGACCAAATCCAGAACCCTACAGAGATGGGCAGAAAAAAAGCAGGGGTGGTGAAGGGTTCTAGGGGGAGGTCCTCTAACCCCTCCATGACCCCTTGGACCACTGATATCCCAACTTAGGGACATTCCTCATCCTCAAGTACTTACTGGATAAGCTGGTGTGGTCACAGGTCTCTGTGGGCACAGAGAGAGAACATGAACATGAGTGAACCCCCCCAAATTCAGGACCAGAAGGTGTGGCGGAAGCTCTGCCCCAGATGCCACCCTGATTCTTGGAAGGGACCCTGACTTCTTCTTTTTTGGGTCTGGTCGTGGGACCTGAACTCTGGGCCTGAGCACTGTCCCTCAGCTCTTCAGCTCAAGGCTAGCACTCTACCACTTGAGCCACAGCGCCACTTCCGGCTTTTTTCTTTGTGCTTATGTGGTGGTGAGGAATAGAACCCAGGGCCTCAGGCATGCAAGACAAGCGCTCTACCACTGAGCCACCTTCCCAGCCCCAAAAGGCAGATTCTTTTTTTTTTTTTTGGTCTTTTCTTTTTTGGTACTGGGGATCGAACCCAGGACGTTGCACTTGCTAGGCAAGCGCTTTTGCCACTGAGCTACATCCCAGCCCGACCCTGACTTCTTTAAGGATCACCAGTGCCTGTGAGCCCCGAGCTTTTAGGACAAAGCCTCGTACGTTCTTCTCTTTGTTCCCTCTTTCTGTTCTTCCGGCCCCTCATTCTTCCCGTCTGTCCCGTCAGAAGTGCACCTAGCCCATGTTGGGAGTAGAGTAGTCCCAGTCACTCAGTAAATTGAGATCTTTTTTGTTTTTGCGTTTTTGTTTTTTTGCCAGCCCTGGAGATGAACTCAGGGCCTGGGCACTGTCCCTGAGCTTCTTTTTGCTCAAGGCTAACACTCTACCACTTGAGCCACAGCGCCATTTCCAGCTTTTTCTGTTTATATGGTACTGAGGCTTCATGCATACTAGGCAAGCACTCTACCACTAAGCCAGATCCCAGCTCAGTAAGCTGAGATCTGAGGATCAAGGTGTAAAGCCGGCCCAGGCAGGAAAATCAAGCTCTGAGCTGACATGTTCTGATGCCATGTGTGTACTTATTCAACTGTGGACAAATAAGCAGTTTTTTTTTTTTGGTGGTCCTGGGGCTTGAACTCTGAATGCTATCCCTGAGCTGCTGCTGCTTCTTCTTCTTCTTCTTCTTCTTCTTCTTCTTCTTCTTCTTCTTCTTC